AGATAATTACTCATATTATTCCTATTCTACTAAAAAAGCAGTTCAGTTTCTGGGAGGGAAACTGGCCAGGCTATATGACCTGAAGCATACCTCAGTTTCCTCACAAATTGATTATTTGTAAAGTGCTTAGAACACTACCAAGTAAATGCTATAAAAGTGTTTGCCAAATATGAGAAGTAACTTTGAGCTCAATAAGAAAGCCAACTTTTTCAGCTTCAGATAATGAAATTCTCAGAGCAGAGTGGTGGCAAAAAAGAGGCTTGGTCCATGAATGAATGCCTTGTGTCAAAATCCCTGTGGCGTGTTTCTTTAGTATTCACCTAGTAGCAAATCCTTCCACCTCCAGTGTACCCCAAATCAGCTCTGTGCTAAGACACTGCAGATTGTATTACCTCATGTCCTGTCTTGGTGCCAACCTCAGAAGAGATTTCCTGCTTCATCACTATGTGTCCATTATCTCATAAAGTGCCCTCTCTGAGACAGAAGTGGTAAACACAGATCATTCTAGCATAACATTTTTCAAACTTACCTGACCATAGAACTCATTTAATGAAATACCTACATATACATGAGTTGGAAAAAGTCTATTCCAAAATATTAATATGGTGTCAACATTGCCATAGGAAAACAAAGGAAAAAAAAACAAAATGAAAACATTAAAATGCTACGCTGGTATGACGCTTATATGTAAGATTTCCAGATTGTCCTATGTTTTACAGGTTTCATAAATTATAAAATAGCACACCTTGTGCCAATCCAACATACTTCTTACCATTCAATCTTTAAAAGTAGAAATATGTATTAGTTTTACTCTTCTCACCATAGAGTAACCATATCTCTCATAAATATTTTTTCTTTAATTAATTATTAGTGTTGAAGACATCTCCTACATTCTTACTACATAAGAATTGATAAGAATAAATCAAGGCTGGGTACAGTGGCTCACTGAGGCAGGCAGATCACTTGAGGTCAGGAGTTGGAGACTAGCCTGGCCAACATGGTAAAACCCATCTCTACTAAAAACACAAAAACCAGCCAGGGGTGGTGGCAGATGCCTGTAATCCTAGCTACTTGGGAGGCTGAAGCACGGAAGGCAGAGTTTGCAAAGAGCAGAGATGGCACCACTGCACTCCAGCCTGGGTGACAGAGTGAAATTCAGTCTCAAAAAAATAATATCAGATTCTACCAGAGATTCTCCTACTAGTGTTCACTTTTATTTAATGCTGACTGAATTTTACAGTTAAAAACTCAGTGGGCATAAAATAAGGAGGCTAACTGAGTTTTACCAACACAACCCTTAAATTATTTCACATCTAAATGCAAAATGAATTCTTCATTAACCTCACTGATACTTTAAGGAGATGTTCAAGATAAGGAGAGGACAACTTGGGGCAGGAGACAGGCCGGTAATAGTTCTAAGAACTATGTATATTCCTACCATTTATGGCTGCATAATGTCAAAATAGGCAAAATAATGCCTTTTCCACAGCCAAATAGGAAGAAACCACGACATGTTCCTAAGTCATGAGATAAATTTCAGGCATTAAGTAGCCTTTAAATTCAAATAATCAAGTACCTATGATGTGAAAGGCACTGTGCAAAATACCTGTATCCAGAGATGTTTGTACAGAATTAATGAGGTCACCACTCTCTAGGAGATAAGGATCCAATAATTAAATGTGAGTTAACACTGAATTAAAGGAGGGAAACTAGAAAGAAAGGGAACTACGAAATGTAAAATTCCTCCCCAAATACCAATAGTTACCTTATTTAACAAAATAAGACATGTGCCGTTTTAAGTGCAAACCTCACACAGCATTCAATCTACCTTTAATCTTTAATGCTTTCAGAAATTTAAAACTAAATGTGTTGGATCAGATATTTGTTTTAGTTTTTAGAGACAGGGTCTCACTCTGTCACACAGGCTGGAGAGCAGGGGTATGATCACGGCTCACTGCAGCCTTGACCTCCCAGGCTCAGGTAAGGATCAGATATTTGGAAGCGAGCAAGGTCTAGAATGTCTGATTTATTCTGGAAAGAAATTCGTGACAAATACTGACCACCTATACTAGTACTATAATATTACAGCAATTCAGATATCCTGTGGGCTGAATTCATAATTCCATTCAGCAAAGTCTGAGAGGACAGAAAACACCCTACTAGTTATGCTTCACCAAATTTCAAAAAACTTCAGCTTTCAAGAATAGTGATAATAATACAGGGGGCTGGGTATAGTGACATCGAGCCTGTAGTCCCAGCTATTGGGAGGCTAAGGCAAGAGGATCGCTTGAGCCCAGTAGTGACTTATGATCGTGGCTGTGAACAGCCACTGCAGCCCAGCCTAGGCCACACAACAATACCTCTCACTTAAAAAAAACAAAACAGGTCAGGGGCGGTGGCTCATGCCTGTAATCCCAGCACTTTGGGATGCCGAGGCAGGCGATCATGAGGTCAAGAGATCAAGACCATCCTTGCCAACATGATGAAACCCCGTCTCTACTACTAAAAATACAAAAATTAGCCAGGCGTTGTGGCCTGTAGTCCCAGCTACTCAGGAGGCCGAGGTGGAAGAACTGCTTGAACCCGGGAGGTGGAGGTTACAGTGAGTTGAGATCGTGCCACTGCACTCCAGCCTGACAGAGCAAGACTCTGTCTCAAAAAAAAAAAAAGCCAGGCACAGTCCTAGCACTTCAGGAGGCTGGAGGTGAGCAGATTACTTAAGGTTAGGAGTTTGAAACCAGCCTGGCCAACGTAGTAAAACCCCGTCTCTACTAAAAATACAAAAAAATTAGCCAGGCGTGGTGGTGGGCACCTGTAATCCCAGCTACTCAGGAGGCTGAGGGAGGAGAATAGCTTGAACCTGGGAGACAATGGTTGCAGTGAGCCAAGATCATGCCACTGCACTCAAGCCTGGGGGACACAGCAAGACTCCACCTGGAAACAAACAAAAAAGCAAAGGCGGGCACGGTGGCTCAGGCCTGTAATCCTAGAACTCTGGGAGGCAGAGGCGGGCAGATTGCCTGAGCTCAGGAGTTCCAGACCAGCCTGGGCAACACAGTGAAACCCCATCTCTACTAAAATACAAAAAATTAGCCGAGCGTGGTGGCCTACGTCTGTAGTCCCTGCTACTCGGGAGTTTGAGACAGGAGAACTGCTTGAACCAGGGAGGCAGAGGTTGCAGTGAGCCAAGATCGCACCACTGCACTCCAGCCTAGCAAACAGTGACAGTACAGGTACTTTGTATCCTACCTTTTATACTTGCATCCTTTACCTCCAGAAAATTATTTGGTCAGGTGTACCATCTTCCTTTTGCAAAAGGTAACCCAGCCAAAGGACGACAGAGTCATCGCACCAGCTAATGAATTCTTTTTTTATACCACTCAGTGCCAAAACCTAAAAGTATGTCTTGTGCACTTCAATCATATAAATATTACACTTAAGAAACTTGCAGCCGGGCGCGGTGGCTCAAGCCTGTAATCCCAGCACTTTGAGAGGCCGAGGCGGGTGGATCACGAGGTCAAGAGATCGAGACCATCCTGGTCAACACGGTGAAACCCCGTCTCTACTAAAAATACAAAAACATTAGCTGGGCATGGTGGCGTGTG